TTTGATTCTACTTCTTTAAGACCCAGCTTGAATGCCTCAATTTGATTTTGTGCTTTCAACACAGTTCCTGGGATCTGGAGATTTGGGAAGGGCTGTACCATATGGTCTTGATAAGGTGATAGATTTTCACATTCTGCAAATTGGCAAGAAAGGGTAGGCACTGAATCAGATGCAGGAAGGGAAAATTAATGTTTGGGCCTCACTCATTAAATTCTTGAGCCCTGTATTTCCCAAAGAATTTTTTTTTCCCTTTTGCAATATTGAGGGAATGAAGCCAAGGCCTCTCTCGTGCTAGCCAGGCACTCTGCACTATAGAATCAAATTTAACAAAGGTGTGTGTGTGTGCATCCACGTGTCCTCACATGCAGGGGTGGGAGTCTTCTAACCTCTTTCATAAGGTTCTTCTAACCTTCCTTTAAAAAGCTATGGCATTTAACACTTAAGTTTTTCAGAAGAGACATCCGACTTAGGAGTTAAAGAACAAAAAAGGGCCTCTTCTTTGGGAGTCCATAGAACAAAAACAGGCCTCTTAGCTTTCTTTGAAAAGGAGACTGCATAGAAAGGTACCCGATGAGAGGCACTAAAAGATAACATGTCTTTTTCATCTGGGAGTTGATAGTTTGGGGAGAAGAACCACAGTCGATGACAGGATAAAACAAAGCCAGGTGTATGTGCACAGAGGGTAAAAGACACATGTAAAGGTGGTACAAATGTCCTGGAGGCAAGAAAATTTAAGAAAAAGAAATTTTAGAAGGGGTTCGTTAAGTAATTTCTAATTGGCGGACGGCGGAGTGGGTAGAGGGAGCTTAAGTGAAGGATTTCCCTTGATCTTAGAGAATTCAGAGTCAGGAGCCTGCCTTTGATTCGGGTCTATGCGGCGCTTTTGGCTTGGTGGAGGCTTGCTTGGAGATCGCCTTGTGGGCACTTTCTTTCCTTCATCTCTTCTAGCGCCGGTGTCCTTGGCTCCTCCAGCTGCGCGCTGGCCCACAGGGGTCCAGGTTGAGTCCCTCTTCT